TTAATTCTGAGAAGGGCGTTGTTGTACCCAATTTCAATCTATCTTGACACAGGGAATGTGGGCTATGAGGCGCCGATCGTCTTGCTTCTCCTTTAACCGTTGTGCTAGCCGTGGACAGTTGTGGATCTGGAGAAGCCCAAGCGAGGAAGGCAGACCTTCCTTCGGTAAGAACTGGAGCTCCGAACAGTTATCAATGGATAGTTCCTGAAGAGAGTTGAGGTTTTGGAGGAGCTCTCTAGATAGCGCTTTCAGATTTTTTACCTGTTCTATCCCAAAATGGATTAGAGAAGTAGGAAGTAAATCACCTGGAGGGCATATCCAACCTATGTTGAACCTTTCAAGAGAGGTAAGCCTGTGGAGCCCCCATTCTTTGATTGGCTGTTTCAAATTCTCACAATTAATGTAAACGTCTGTCAGGCTTGTGGGCAAACCACCTTCTGGAATGGAATCGATCCTTTTGCACCACCGTATGCTTAATGATTGGAGAGATGTAAGGTTGTGCATTCTATTGGGCAGGGACCTGAGATTCTTACAATCATAAATACTCAGAAATATAAGATTAGGCATGCCCAGACCACTTTCTGGGAACGACTCCAAACCTTCAACTTGATGAATTAATAACCAAGTGAGAGTGCTGAGGCTTGACATGTGATCCAAAGGAAGCAAGCCGCTTGGAAATAAATTTCGAATTGGAATCTTCAGTAGAAATAAGTGTTTAAGCTGCAGCATGTTATCTCCATTATTATCATCCATCAATCCCTCCGGTAGAGATTCTAGATTTTCACAGCTCCCAATTTCCAAAATTTTAAGTCTGGCGGGCAATTGACCACTTGGAAACAATTTGAAATTAGGACAACTCCAAACAGATAATTCTACAAGACCTTTGAGTTCCACTGTCACTGACGTAAGCAGAGGACACGAACGGATTGACAACTGTAGAAGATGTGCAAGGTTTGCAATATTTGCTCCTTCCTCCCACAAACAAGTAAGTTCCTCACAACTATCGATCCACATAAATTCAAGTGCTATCATTGACTCTAAAAACCTCTTAGGCAAAAAAGCCAGACTCGAAATTTTGAAAATTTCCAAGTTGGAAAGGGAAATGAGATCAACCATACTCCTCAAAACTACCTCACTACATTCTTTTATAGCTAAATTTTGAAGTGAGGGAAGGCTCACCGGTGAGTACGTTAACTGTGGGCATCTTACAATCAAAAGCACTTTAAGAGATGGAAGTTCTTTTGGTAATTTTCCCAACAAGCAACAGTCCTCCAACACCAGCTTCTCTAATGATAGAAAACAATTACTGGAGGAAAATTTGTCACCATCCCCAGTCAGAGTTGCAGCCTTGCTTCCTTTAATGATCAATTCTTTGAGCTGGGGTAATTGCCCCAGTGATGGTAATGATGTACAATTTTGACAATCACGAAGCTCCAAGAACTTTAACTGGGAAAAGGATGGATCACCTATCCAGGATGGGAATTCTTCCCCACAGTAGCAATCGATCGTCAACCTTTCCAATCTTTGACCAGGTTTTAAGCATTCAAGGACTTGGAAGTCTTTCACTTTACTCTGTGAATCAGAACAAACAGAAGCCCACTCCAAGGATAAATCATCCAATTTCATGTTGTACAGCTTGACATCCTTGGCATCTTCAATATCTAAAAGATTGTGTAGATTCAAAATGGAAAGTCGACCTTGAAGGCCTGTCAGGTTCTTCAATTCTTTCAATCTTAATCCAGAATCAGCTTTCCCCAGAATAAATTTGGTCAGTAACACAAGACTTCTCAATTTAGCTACCTCCAATGGAATCTCTGTCAGAGATGGTGTATTAGTAAGGTCAAGATAATGGAGGTCAATTAGATTCCCAATTGTTGCAGGTACCCTAGTAAGCTCTTTACAGTCATGTAAAATCAATGTCTGTAAGAAAAGCAAGGAACCCACCGACTCGGGCAAACTTTGAATTAATGAATGAGACAGATTAACGAATCGTAGATGCTTCAAATCCCCAATTGAATTTGGTAGCTTCTGTACTCCACAAAGAGATAACACCCTTAGGCACTTCAATTTTGGTAATATACCGACTGCAACTTCATTCGATAAGTAGGGACCAGGCCAATTTCTATTATTGTTCCATTTCAATCGTAGGAGTGTTCGCAAATTCTTCTCTTCATTCAAGACTTCAAATCTTTTCAATACATCATATCGGCGAGGAGCAAATGACAAATGGCGAGCCTTATTATCACCCAAGCTCAGTTGATCAAGACTGCAGCATATTTCTCCAGCAACTTCTTGAGTTAAATCACTTATGAAATCATGCATCATAAATAGTGATCGATCTCTGATTGATGGTTGAAAAATTGATCTTGATAATAAATCATTAAAACATTGATGGCCACGATCATGCATTTGCTTTATTCCTTGTGACGGTTGTTGCAAAAACCCTTGTGCCATCCATAACAAAACTAACTCATTTTTGTCAAATTCATGGTCCTTAGGAAATATAGCACAAAAGCCAAAGCATCCCTTCAAATGAGGAGGAAGACGGTTGTAGCTTAATTTCAGAACTGCAGAAATGTCACTTTGGCCTTCGGGTAGATTGCACAACTCACGATTTAACAGATCTTCCCACTCCTGATAATACGGTTTACAACGCAAGAGGCCACCAAGGACTTTCACAGCCAAAGGTAATCCTTTACATTTATCTACAATTTCTCTGCCAACTCCTTCTAGTTCTGGGTGAGAATCAAAATTCTCCTTGTCTAATGCATGTCTAGCAAATAATGACAAACATTCATCCTCTGGAAGAAGATCTAAATTGTAAACTTTATCATCTGCTCTCATGGTTTTTGCAACAACCATGTTTCGAGTTGTTACGATGATTTTACTTCCAGGTGCTCCATCTGAGAAAGGTCTTCGTAGTACATCCCACCGGTGATACTCCTCATTCCATATGTCGTCTAGTACAAGTAAGAACTTCTTACCAGAGAGTTCTTTCTTCAGATCCTGTTGTAGTGAAAAAAGATCTTGTACATCAGACTTTTTCCTAGTTACTTGCTGTAGAATGACCCTTGTAATTTGGTCAACATCAAATACATCAGAAACACAAACCCAGGCCTTCAATTCAAACCCATAATCCTTCAATTTTTCATCATCATAATAAATGAGGCCTGCAAGAGTGGTCTTGCCTAGACCCCCCATTCCGATAATTGGAATAACAGAGTATCCTTCATGATTGCCTTCATCATCAAACATTTGAAAGATTTTCTCTTTATCACTTTCCCGACCATAAACAATACGAGATTCGGGCATGGCAGTATCTAGTGATCTCACTGCAACAGCTTTACTAGAACTTGCTTCAACATTCACAGCCGAATTAATCAAGTCCAAAGTCCTTATCTCTCCTTCAAAATGTTGCAGTCTGGCAGTTATGTTCTTTATCTGGGAAGCAATCTCTGGATCTTTAACCCACTTCGGTGTGAGTTTTTGTATGATGCTGGTGCTGGCTTGAGGACTTGCAATCAGTTTCCGCTTGGCATCGAGCTCCAGTTCGTCAAGGATATCTTCCATGTCAAGAGCCAAGTCCCTGAGACCACCAAGAAATAACCTCACCAACTTGTTTGTTACTTGCTTCTGTTCTGCATCTTCAAGTATAGCATGTATTTTGGGTAAAAGAGTTCTCCACTTTGCCACCTCTTTACGTACATACTTATGTGAATTCAATAATTCACTGAGGTCATTAGAATCCAATTTCGAAAGTAGCCAGCTAAATG